GGCCGAGCCCGGGAGCCTGCGCCAACCCTCCGTCCTTTCTCCGTCCTCGCGGCCGCCCTCGTTTTCGCCCCCCAGCTCGCCCTCCCCGTAACTCCTGCCCCGCGCGGAGCAGCTCCTTCACCTGGACGTTGTGAACGGAAAAGTCCGAGATGTGCATGAAAATCCAAGGCGTTGCAGGCGGCAGCGAGCCGAGGCGAGCGAAGATGGGAGCAGGAGGAAGAGGCGCTTGGCACAGCCCACGGAAACACCACGCGGGAATCCAACAGGCACCAGAACGACCGTTTCCACCCGCGGCGACGGGGAGGCGGCGCCCGGCCAACGTGCCGTCTCCGCAAGAACCTCGCCGAGCCCTTAGCCACGAGCGCCCTGCGCTCTCCGGGAAGCGGGGCCACCCCCACCCAACCCTCCGAGAGCTCGCCGCGGGGGTAACGAAAAGGAAAGAAAACCAAAGCCCAGAAACACACAAAAACACCTTAAAAAATAATGCTTTCGGCCCACAAGGCAATTTTTTTTGTTGTTTTTTCTCTCTTTGCTCTGCTTCCCAGCACAGTGGTGGTAAGGGGCTAGCTTGGAGCTGGTCCTAGCAAGCTTTGAGTAGGTACAGGAATAGCACCATATGGATTAGCAGCGGACCAGAGCTGGCTTTCCCCAGGCTCGAGCGTTGCACGACGCTAGCTTGGCAAGTGTTTGTGGCTGCAGCTCCGGCTGGCATTGCTATGTCGCCGTAAGCTCAGGGGAAACCCAAACCACAACGCTCAGGAGCCGCGGGCAGCGCGGCAAGCCAGCATACACGGAGCCTCCCCACGACATTCAGGTTTTCCCTGTCCTTGGGGAAGTGTTCAGCATCAGCAACCACGACAGGCCAGGGAGACCGGCCTGCTTTTGGCTTCGCGGTTGGGATTTGGAAGCGATGCACCAAATCCCGCACGGGGGCAAACTGGCAAAGGCTCTTGGACGTAGCAGATCTGGGTCAGTTTATACCCAGCAAGGGGACTCCAGCTCATCAAACAAGCAGTGAGACTGGGACTAAGAAGCCTCTTCCCTTACCCTGAACTTAAACACGTCAGGTTGAACCTCCATGAAAAGGTAACGTTTCCAGGAGGACACAATTTGCCACCTTCCCTGAGGCCTCACCTTGCAGCTTCGCTCTTCCAGAGCTCCTCAAATCTCTTTCTTTCAGTTTCACACATCCCTGGCCAGGGACACGCACCCCAAAATTCACCACGTCCAGAAGCACGGTCACACGTTCTGGAGGGTAAAGCAAGGTCATGAAGGGATCTCTCAGGTGCCTTTTTGAAAAAGTGACTACCCCTCCTTAGTCAGCCCAGAGGGTGAGGACAACCAAAAAGGTACCGTGTGCTGAACGAAGCCACTGGGCAGGTATTAAGACTTCCATTTCCTCCTCTCTAAGTCTGCAAAACTTTAGGGTAATATTGAAACAACCCCTTAGGGGACCAGGCAGCCAGCGAGGGATGTGGCGATGAGGAAGACGCAGCAACAGCCTTGCTGCTTTCTAAAGAGCAGCCCTCTGATTTTGCTGTCTGGCCCCTAAGCAGGGCGTTTAGAGCTCAGCAACAGCTTCTTGTTAGAGAAAGCTCATGTCCGTTTATTTTTGTTTTGCATCTGCCTTCTCTATCCGTGCCAAACAGCTACCAATCCGATTCAGGAAACGGATGGGCAGCGTCAGCCCATCTCCTGCAGCGGGCGCAGCCCCCGTGCCCTCACACAGCCCTGCCTGCCGTGCCGACCCCGCCGAGCTTGGCTCCCAGTGCAGGTCCTGCACCACCAGCAACCCGGGGAGCCGCACAGACCGAGACCCTCGCCAGCTGCATGGGCAGCATTCCCCGTTGGTTGCTGCTTCCTTTGTATTGCCCTTTCCCCCCTCTCCAGCTCCAGCTCCAGCCAAGGAAAGACCTGGCCCAGGGCAAAGCTGAGGAATGTCTCCAGATCCTTGCTTTTCTGGTTTCAGATTAATGTCTTTATCAAATCCAAATGCACACTTTGCACTACCCAAACCAAAAGAGAATGACAATTAGGACTGCAGGCAGAGCTAGGTTTCAGCTCGAGCAGACCTTGGAGAAGGGAGCTGCAGGCTTTGCACACTCCTCTGATTTGCTTCGCAGCAAGGAGGTGGATGGTTTTCTTAAGCAGCACAGTCTCCCAGCCAGCCATCCTGCTGAGCCAGGCTCCTGGTGGACAAGGAGCGTATTTCAGCACAGCTGAGCAGCACTCTCCACGTCAGTGGAGGGGCAGGACGGGAGGTGAATCTGTTCTCCACCACACCACATCGCTCTGGCTTGTGCACTGAAGGACACGTCCCACAGGTGAGTCTCTCTTCTTTCCCCATCCCCACCAAATAACAATAATAATGAGCTAGACAAACAAATGGCTTTAAATAAAATCACTGATAGCACTGGAGGAAAGAACAACTGACAAGCTTCACAGTCCATCTTAGATCTCCGAGAACCCTCGAGTCGAGCCAGTCTTTGACCCGCCCTTCTGCTTATGTTGTTTCCTTGGCTTAGCCTAGAAAAGCACCACAAGCTTCAGGAGAAGCTGCAAAGGGAAAAATCTGCGGGGAAGCCCTGCCAGTCTACCCCCTCCACCTGCCTTTCAGGTCACCTTTCAAGCATGTGGACCTTGTTGGGCCAGCTCCAGCTGCACCTTAATGCTCTGCATTTCTCTCTGCCCGTGCTACAGGACTGCATGCTGCAAAGGAACTGAAATTGCAATATATATGAATCATCTGGGACTTGTGCCGTTCTTTTTTACCTGAAAACAAGGAACATCCTGCCACTCCAGTACAATGCATCGTGCTAGGAAGTCTGCACAGATTGGAGTATGCTACTTGTCTTTCCACATTACGCCCCTTTTATAGCAGCTTCTGGCTGGCCCATGTGAAAAAACAATCAAACGTAGAAGACTAGTGGTTTTTACTTGCATAGCTGCTGTTAGTTCACGTGGATGCAAACATCTGTTTCTTGAGTACACTGACACAGATGGACTACGAAGAGGCCATTCAGCCTATCTCCCACTGGTCAGCTGTCTTGGGAGCAACCTGTTTCTTCATTTCCAAGCATCAGCGTCACAGGAAGTCAGACACAGGTTGCCTTGAGCTGCTGTCAGGATGGAGGTCTGTACGGTCCCTTGCAGGTCACAAGGGGAATCAGCTCTTCCAGCATCCGCCCAGGTAGCATCTTCCCTTCTTTCTGGGATGCTAAAAGCACAGAATAGTTCGTGGGCTCAGTCCTGGACCGCAGCAGTCCCTGCATTGCCTTTGCCTGCCCCGGAGCGGGGTGTGTGGGGGGGATACAACCATGCGAGTTCTGCCACCCTCTCTAGCATGACGGAGCAGCAGCGG